AATAATTTAACTTATCAATGATTTTATAGTGATAGATTGCTAATATGTTTTCTATATATAAAATTGGGTCTTGCTTTTTTAGATGCACAAGTTGCAATTTTTTTTTCTGTTAACGATTTAATGTAAGTTGATTCTTGTGCACTATAGCTATAAAGTTATAGAGCCATTTTGAACATTACTTATACGAATATATATTTTTTTACTTATTTTAATTAAGTTATTAATTTGATTAACTGTGTCAACTTTAAAGTAGCTGATAAGTTTTTTTTAGAAATAATGCAAAATTTACTCTATAGTTTAGTTATTTGGAATTTAATATCGATCTTCTCAAATTTTTACTTTAAAATTTTTGGTTGTTAAGTCTGCACATCTAATTAAATATAGGCATCTATAAATCATATAAATGCTGATTTCACTTAAAGAATGCATGCCTTAAAAAATATAACAAAAACAAGCAATTTAATAAAACAGCATCTGCACCCATTGTGTCTATCAAAAAAATATTTATTGAATTTATTAAAAAAGCATCTGTCAAATTTAATAAAGAAGCATTCATTGAATCTAATAAAGGAATATTTATCAAATTCATTAAATCTAATGAAAAAACATTCATCAAATCCATCAAAGCATTCATTGAAGTATCTATCAAAGCATCTATCGAATCTATTGAATCTGTTAAAGAAGCACTTGTCAAATCTATTAAAGAAACATTTATTAAATCTAATGAAGAGGTATTTATTATATCTAATAAAAAGAAAAAGTTAATTTTAACTATAAAGCAATTATCTGATAAAGAGCTATCATTAGTAAACTGCCTTATTTCTATTATGTGAAATCCCAAAGGTCCAAATAAAGGAAAAAATTTTTTTTATATTTATAGCAAAAGATGTTTAACTATCTTGATCAAAGTTTTTACAAACATAATTCAGATTATCAATCTTTATAAAATAAAAATTTAAATTTAGAAAAATTTAATAAAAAATTTTCTTCTAAAAACAAAATATTAATCAAGTAAACTCAATCACTTGGTATTAAAACTCATTATTTTCAAAATCAAAAATTGAAACATATTGTTAAAATCTGTTCACTAGTTTGATATTTAAAGCAAATTTCTAATACTAAATTTTATAAAAAAATCAAATCTATTTTTAAACAGAATAAAAAAGATTATTCTTTGAATACTATCTAGCTTGTAACAAATATTTTGCAAGTAGATCAAATATCATTAAACTCTGCAGTCGATTTATATAATTAGTTTACAAATTTTTAACAGAAGAACCACCTTAAAATTGGTTAGCAAGATCTACTATATGTAAATAGTATTGTAATATCTTAGATTTATATTATAATAAAAATATTTTCAAAGCAATAAATATATTGGTATTTGAAGTAATAATAAATAAATTGACATATAAACAAACAAAGAATCTAGTTCTTTATTATTATTCTTTTTTTTTATAATTCAGCTGCCTGCCGCTGTTTATTTATGATTAAGGACTATTCGACAAATTACAAGAATTTCTCTCCTAGCTATATATAATCTTCTGAACAATGCTATATACCCAATATGGTCTGCCTTAGCAGTTATTAGCCTCAATCCAGATTCGAAACTACCTAAGAACTTTTTTCCCTTCAATTCTTGGCTGGTGACTGCAAGCCATAAGCATCAATATTAGCTTTTCTTATTAGTAGAGAAATACAAATACAAAAGAAAAAAGTGAGATAAAAAAGAGGAAGTATACTCATCAATGAAACCAACCTACCTAAAAAATAAACCAAACAAAAGAAACAAGACAAAACAAAAAAAAGAAAACAAAGATGGTACTATTAAGCCTGTGTCAAACTGAAAACATTATATAGTACTACTAAATGAACTAAATTAACCTCTATATTAGTCATTTATGTCTATATCTAAATCTCTTAAGGAATGACCGATCGTATATTATTTATCCCAAAGTAGACACATATTCCTATATATGACTTTCTTTTTTTGGCAGTGATCGTTATTGTTGATTCTTTGACAGGGTATGCTGTTTTTTCTACTTTTTGGTAAAATTTTGTGAAGTGCAAAGAGTGGTGTGTTTTAGAGGGTTTCGA